GCGCAACGTCGGGTCCGCGCATGTCCAGACCGCGCTGTTCGACCTCCCCGCTTTGCTGATGAGCAGCATCGCGCTCCCCGGGTTGCTGCCCGTCTTCAGGTAGATCCTATTCCACCTCACCCACGGCGCCATGACGACCGCCGCCTTGGCCCCAGGGGTGCCGACCTCCTCCGCGTCCTCGCAGTCACCGCCGTACGGCTCGAACTGCTCGCCAAACTCGGCTCCCCAGATGAGCGGGCGCCCCTCGTCGGCGAGGTCGGGCGCGATCCAGCCGACCGCGCAGGCCCCGAGGTATCACCAGGCTCTCGTGGTGGCAAAACCGCGGCCCCCCACGCGGGATGGCCAGGCCGCCGGGCGACGCTCGACACGTGCAATCTGTCAAAAGGGAACGGCTCCGCAGAAAGGCCCCTGGGACCTCAAGAGCATGGAGCCGAAATCTTGAGGACAGCAGAGCCGAGGGAGGACAAAGGGCGAGGACGAGGAAGGACAAAATGGGGACGGCGCGAGGGGGGGAACTAGCAATATAAAAGAACGTTATAGTAACACTTACAATGTATCCCGGCAAAGCAACCTAACAGCGATGTGTCTAAGCATATCTGGAAGCATTCTCCTTACGATTCAAATGAGAATCCAGTTGTAGAAGTCTGCTGTTCTCGCAGTCGCAGTCTCATTCGCAATGACAGTCGCAGTGGCAACGGCCTTAGGACCCAATGGAATCCTAAGGGTTCCTATGGATTCCTAGGGCATCCTTCGGCATCCTTAGGAATCCATAGGAATCCTTAGGAAACCTTAGCAATCCTTCCTAGAGATTCCTTGGGATTCCTAAGGATTCCTAGGGCATCCTAAGGATTCCAAAGGATTCCTGAGGGTGCTTAATTATGCCTGCGGATTCCTAAGGATGCCTACGGATTCTTAAGGATTCCTAGGGATTCCGAAGGGTTCCTATGGATTCCTACGGATGCCTCAGCCTGCCTCAGTTTCAGCCTCAGCTTCAGCCTCAGCCTCAGCCTCAGCCTGCCTCGGCCTCACCCTGTGTCAGCCTCAGCCTGCCTCAGCCTCAGCCTGCCTCGGCTTGCCTCAGCTTCAGCCTCAGCCTGCCTCGGCCTCAGCCTGCCTCGGCCTCAGCCTGCCTCAGCCTCCCCTCCCCCCCCCCGCCCCTTCCCCCCCCCCCCATTCAACCTCACCTTGTCTCAGCTTCGGCCTGCCTCGGCCTCATCCTCATCCTCAGCCTCAGTCTCAGCCTGTCTCGGCCTGAGCCTGCCTCGGCCTCAGCCTCAGCCTGCCTCAGCCTCAGCCTGCCTCAGCCTCAGCCTCAGCCTGCCTCAGCATCAGCCTCAGCCTCAGCCTCAGCCTGCCTCGGCTTGCCTCGGCGCCTCAGCCTCAGTCTCAGTCTCAGCCTGCATCGGCCTCAGCCTCAGCCTGCCTCAGCCGCAGCTTGCCTCAGCCTCAGCCACAGCCTCAGCCTCAGCCTCAGCCTGCCTCAGCTTCAGCCTCAGCCTAGCAGCAGGAGGAGGAGGAGGAGGAGGAGGAGGAGGAGGAGGAGGAGTCAGCAGAATCGACGTTGGGCACCATCTGGGGCAACCTCGGCGGGGGCCGCGGGCTGCGCGAGGCAACCGCGGGCCTCGGCGTGCGCCCTCCGCGGGAATTATGCGAACGGAGTTCCCCACATGAAGATATCAACGGTTTCGTGGGACCCATGGGGTACGACAGCATCAACACGAAGGAGAAGCTCATCGAACGAGTGAGTACGCACGACAGGGCAGGCGAAAGAAAGGAGGAGGGAGGACAAGTGCTCAGGAAACGAAGCCTTGTAAATAGTACGGTTTCTTGATGCCCTCCTCGCTCTGGCAAGGCCCCGCTGGAAGGGGGGAGGGCTACGAAACCTGGTAAATAGTAATGATTTTCGCGACCCTCCTCGTTCAAGCGCGGCCTCTCTGGAGGAGTGGAGCGGGGACACGAAACCGTGTAAACTGCATTGTTTCCCGGTACCCTCCTGGAGGAAGAGGAGGAGGAGGAGGAGGAGGAGCAGGAGGAGGAGGAGGAAGAGGATAGGATGGATGATGGTGAAGAGCATCATCATATCATTATGATGATGATGATGATGATGATGGTGATGATGATGATGATCATCATCATCCTCATCATCGGCATCATCATAACCATCACCATCACCATCACCATCAGCATCATCATCATCATCATCAGCATCATCATCATCATCATCATCATCATCATCATCATCATCACCATCATCATCATCGTCATCATCATCATCAGCATCATCATCATCATCAACATCGTCATCATCATCGTCAGCGTCATCGTCATCATCATCATCATCATCATCATCATCATCATCATCATCATCATATCATCGTCGTCGCCATCATCGTCATCGTCATCATCATCATCATCATCATCATCATCATCATCATCATCATCATCGTCATCATCATCACCATCACCGACCTTGGCATTCATCATCAGCATCATCGTCGTCATCATCAACAGCGCCAGCAACGTCAGCATCAGCAGCAGCATCGTCATCATCACCAGCACCTGCATCTTCATCCTCGTCGTCGTCGTTGTCAGCATCGTCATCGTCATCATCATCATCATCATCATCATCATCATCATCATCATCATCATCATCTTCTCATCATCATCATCAGCAGCATCACCATCATCATAATCGCCGTTATCGCAATCGTCATCGTCCATCACCATTATCGCCATCGTCATCGTCATTGTGAACAGCAGCAAAACCATCGTCATCACCATCATCATGATGAAGCCTTCCTCATCGCAGAACTCCCCCTCCTCCTCACCCTCCTCAGTGGGAGGAGTAGGGCGTGACATGGATAGGTAATGTTCTCCCCTCCTCCTCACCCATGTCAGTGGGAGGGGCACGAAACCATTTAAATAGAGTGGGTTTCCGATGCCCGCCTTGCTCAGACGGGGCCTCCCTGGAGAGGTGGGAGGGGCACGAAACCATGTAAATAGAATGGGTTTCCGATACCCTCCTCGCTCAGGCAGGGCCTCCCTGAGAGGTGGGAGGGGCACGAAGCCATGTAAATAGTATGGGTTTCCGTTACCCTCCTCGCTCAGGCGGGGCCTCCCTGGAGAGGTGGGAAGGACACGAAACCATGTAAATAGAATGGGTTTCCGATACCCTCCTCGCTCAGGCGGGGCCTCCCTGGAGAGGAGGGAGGGGCACGAAACCATGTAAATTGAATGGGTTTCCGATACCCTCCTCGCTCAGACGGGGCCCCCCTGGAGGGGTGGGAGGGGCACGAAACCATGTGAATAATACGGGTTTCCGATACCCTCCTCGCTCAGGCGGGGCCCCCCTGGAGGGGTGGAAGGGGCACGAAACCATGTGAATAGTACGGGTTTCCGATACCCTCCTCGCTCAGGCGGGGCCTCCCTGGAGGGGAGGGAGGGGCACGAAACCATGTAAATAGTATGGGTTTTCGATACCCTCCTCAAACGGGGCCTCCCTGGAGGGGTGGGAGGGGCACGAAACCATGTAAATAGTACGGGTTTCCGATACCCTCCTCGCTCAGGCGGGGCCTCCCTGGAGGGATGGGAGGGGCACGAAACTATGTAAATGGTATGGGTTTTCGATACCCTCTTCGCTCAGACGGGGCCTCCCTGGAGAGGTGGGAGGCGGGAGGGAGAAGGAGAGGATGTGCTGGGAAAACAGAAACCCTACTCAGGATGTGGAAAAAAAGGGATGGAACCGCATGCGATCCCTGCCACCGGGGCCTTCGGTGGAGCTGGGGCCACGAAGCGTGTGAGTGTGAGGTGTGCGCCGAAATGGGGGTGGAACTGCATGCGAACTTTGTCACTGGGGCCTTCGGTGGAGCCACGAAGCGTGTGTCGAAATGGAGCAGGATGGAGGATGGAGTCAGCACGACTGAGAGCAGGATGGAGGGTGGATGGGGGAAGGGAGGAAAAGGAGGAGGAGGGGAGAGAGAGGGAGTGGAGGGAGAGGAGGGCGCAACCATACGGACGCAGATGATGATGATGATGGATGATGCTGGTGATGATGATGATGATGATGACGATGATGATGATGAGGATACTGATGATGATGATACTGATGATGAGCGAGCGGCCACGGCGTTACCACCTGAAGGTGTGCCAGATAATCAATTCTCGTGCTGTAGGCCGGCTGTGCACGGGCTCCGGGCGGAAACTGCACTGCATGCAGCACGTCTCTGTTGCACAGAAAAGGGATGTAGAATATGTATGGCGTGGCGGGCACAGATGCCGCCGCGCGCGCCTCACCGCGTTGAGTCGGCCGGTCTTGGTGGCCGCCGCTGTCGGGCCACAAGGCGCCCTCTGCCGGCCAGCACGTCGGCTCGTACCAGTACTCGATCGGCTTGGTCCGCGGCCTCGATCAAGGAGTCCTCGTCTCTGTGGAGCCGGCCCGTACGCATCATCTCACGGCAAACCTGGGAGCTGCACTGCAAGTGGTGGACAGCCCGCGGTCGGGATCCGTAGTCTTTGCCGCATGCTGGGCATGTGGACGTGATGCAATATGCCCGAGCCGTGGCAACTATGCGATGGGCTCGGTGCCGGTGGCCTGCGAGGCCGCGCCGTCCCCTGCACCACTTGTGAGACAGGTCGCACTGGAGAAGCTGTTGCGCCCGGGTCAGGGTCGAGCGCTGGGCTTCGGCCTCTTCGACTTCGGCAGCCGTTGGTGGGGGGGCTTGCTGTGCAATGGCCCCCGGGCGATTCGGGAGGAAAGCGATCGCCCTCACCATCCTCTTCCGATGTGGGCGGGATGCTGTGATATAGCGTGCCCACTGCGCTGGTGCCACCGCCGGCGACGGCAGATGGCGCAGTTCCTCGGAGTGCTCCCACAGCAGGATGAGGTCGTCGAGGAGGAGGCGGGCATGCGGCCGCTAAGGCTCCGCACAGTGGATGGCACGAAGGTAAGCTGGGCCGTCCAGCAAAACCGGCAGCAGCCGTAGTCGCCTGCATGTGATCGCCATGTCCAGGGCGGAGTGCCCGAGCTGCGTGCACGCCTGGTCATCGCTGACGTCGGTGTGGCCGAATCGAGGGTGTCCCAAGACCTGCCGCCGCGGTCGCATGTAGGCCGCCTGCGTGCGGCGTTTGGCCACCGGGTCGTCCTGCAACCACAGCTCTGCGCCAAAGAGGAGCTGGGAGTCCAGAAGCGAGCACGCCAGGGAAGCGCGGGTCGCCTTCGAGAGGTGGCAGGAGCCGAAGACGGTGTGGGCCATAGGGCCGTAGGTCTTCTGCATCTTGGTGGCCTTCGCCTGGGCGTCGGGCATCGATCGCCCAGAGGTCTGAAGGGTCGTCCCAACGTGCTTGTAATGGTACACGATGCCGCAGCGCCCGGCGTTGGTGTCCAGCCCTAGGTCGCCTGCTTCATCTTGAAGCTGATTGTATGCCGCGCGGGCGCCCACTCCGAAGAGGCGCAGCATGATGGCCGTCTTCTCTGGGCCGAAGTTGATCTTGAGGCCGTAGCGAGATAACACCTCGTATAACACGTTGACGGCCTGCGTGAGGCTGTCGATGAGCTGTGCCGGCGTGTCCGCCTCGAAGAGCTCCGCTAAATCGTCGACGTACGTGGACTGGTCAACGGTGATCTCCTCCAGGTCGCTTTCTGGGTTGACGTTGGTGTGCCAGGGCACGGCATCCGTGGGGACGGCCATGCGGGACGAGACGCCAAGCTCCTTGAGCCTCTCGCGCACCTCGGCCAGCAGGATGTCGTAGATGACATTGAAGATGATGGCGCCGAGCTTCTCGCCCTGGCGCGCTGCGATGGTCGACGAGGCAACCGGCGTGTCGTCAGTGACTGGCGTGACGTCGCGTCCGTCGTTGGATCGCACGTGCGACCATGTGGCAGTGTGCCAATCTGCGATCAGCTGGGCCGCCGCCGGCTCGATTCCGCCATCGAGCACTCTGGGGCCGTGGACTTTGAGGTACTCGTGGACGGCGCTGGCCACATCAGGCGGGACGCCTCGTTGCATCAAGGCGGGGATGAGCTTCGTGAGCGAAACGTCCCTCGGACCCAGGGCCAACTCCCTGAAAACCGTGTCGAAGGCCTTGCTGAGGTCTAGGAAAAGGATGGCCCAGCAGCGCAAAGTGGCGTGATGCCGAGAGATCCAACCAGCGGTGGCGGCTTCTGCGGAAGCCGTGCCACGTCCTTTCACGCACCCTGCCTACGACTCGGGCACAAGCACGTCCAGGTAGGATGGCAGAAGCGGCATGGAGATGATGTCGGCGTAGGTTTTCGCGAAGGCTGTCTCGGCGACCACTCCGCGACGATGATGATGATGATGATGATGATGATGATGATGATGATGATGATGATGATGATGATGATGATGATGATGATGATGGTGGTGGTGGTGATGATGATGATGATGATGGTGATGATGCTGATGGTGGATATTATGATGATGCTGATGCTGATGATGCTGATGATGATGCTGATGGAGGATGGATTGAGGAGGAGGAGGAGGAGGAGGAGGAGGAGGAGGAGGAGGGAGGAGGGGGAAAAGGAGAGGAGGAGGGACACGGGGCGATGTCTCAGGCGCAAATCGACTGGACGGGTCCTTGGGTCGATTTTGAAATTGCCTCGACCCCCGACGTGATACGTCCGATCTCTTCGTTTCTTCCTTCGTCGCGGCATCCAGAAGCACATTGGGCCCCGGGACTGGTCCCCAGCATGCGGTCGAGAGGTCCACGGGCATTGCGCCGTGCGAAACATCGCAACGTCGGAGGTCTGAGCGATGTAGAAGGGGCATTCACCGCCAAGGTTGCGCTACGTTCGATCCTGGCGGAACTCCCTCGATCGCATCTTCCGGAAGCCTTTTTTGGGGTCCAGGGCTATGAACAAAAATACCCGAAACTTAACATATTTATATTGTCCCTGGGATGGGGTCGAGAGGTCCAGGGGGCCTTGCGCCGTGGAAAATTCCAAATTCCAGGAGCCTCGCGCAAGCGTCTCTTCCTCGAAATGAATCGCGGGGGCGCATGAAAACCCTGCCACTGGGGCCTTCGGTGGAGCTCCCTATTGGGCCACGAGCCGTGTAAGGTGTGTGCCGAAATGAATCGCAAGGACGCATGTAAACCCTGCCGTTGCGGCCTTGCGTGGAGCTCCCTATGGGGCCACGAACGGTGTGAGGGGTGTGCCGTCAGAGACGCGGAGACACGTGTAAACCCTGCCGCTGGGGCCTTCGGTGGAGATCCCTTTTGTGCCACGAGCCGTGTGAAAGGTGCGCCGACATGAACCGCGACGACGCACGTAAACCCTGCCGTTGGGGCCTTAGGTGGAGCTCCCCATGGGGCCACGAACCGCGCGTGTGAGGGGTGTGACAAAATTACTCGTGGGGACACGTGTGAACCCTGCCGCTGGGGCCTTCGGTGGAGCTACCTATGGGGCCACGAGCCGTGTAAGGTGTGTGCCGACATGAATCGCAAGGACGCATGTAAACCCTGCCATTAGGGCCTTGCGCGAAGCTCCCTATAGGGGCCACGAACGGTGTGAGGGGTGTGCCGTCAGAGACGCGGAGACACGTGTAAACCCTGCCGTTGGGGCCTTCGGTGAAGCTCCCTTTTGGGCCACGATCCGTGTGAAAGGTGCGCCGACATGAACCGCGACGACGCACGTAAACCCTGCCGCTGGGGCCTTCGGTGGAGCCCCCCATGGGGCCACGAACCGCGCGTGTGAGGGGTGTGACAAACTTACTCGTGGGGACACGTGTGAAGCCTGCCGCTGGGGCCTTCGGTGGAGCTCCCTATGGGGCCACGAACCGTGTAAGGTGTGTGCCGAAATGAATCGCAAAGACGCATGTAAACCCTGCCGTTGGGGCCTTGCGCGAAGCTCCCTATAAGGGCCACGAACGGTGTGAGGGGTGTGCCGTCAGAGACGCGGAGACACGTGTAAACCCTGCCGTTGGGGCCTTCGGTGGAGCTCCCTTTTGGGCCACGAACCGTGTGAAAGGTGCGCCGACATGAACCGCGACGACGCATGTAAACCCTGCCGTTGGGGCCTTCGGTGGAGCTCCCCATGGGGCCACGAAGCGTGTGAACGGTGCGGCGAAATGAATCGCGGGGACGCATGTAAACCGTACCACTGGGGCCTTCGGTGGAACCCCCGATAGTTTCAAGAACCGTGTGAGGGGTGTGTCGAAATGAGTCGCGGGGACGCACGTACACCCTGCCGCTGGGGCCTTCGGTGGAACTCCCTATTGGGCCACGAACCGTGTTAGGGGTGTCCCGAAATCAATCGCGGCGACGCATGTAAACCCTGCCACTGGGGTCTTCGGTGGAGCTCCCCATGGGGCCACGAACCGTGTTAGAGGTGTGCCGAAATCGATGCCTGAGACGCATGTGGACGCACAATCGTGGGCCTTCGGTGGACCTCCCTATGGGGCCACGGATCTTGTGAGGGGTGCGCCGAAATGGTGGACATGCGGAAAACAGAAGCAGGGATGGGAGAAGGGAGGGGGCAACGAGGACCCAAACCACATTCTGGTTGGGAAAATTATCCTGGCAAAGCAACCTAACAGCGATGTGTAGGAGCATATCTGGAAGCATTCCCCTTAATATTCAGATGAGGATCCAATTGTAGAATTCTGCTGTTCTCGCAGTCGCAGTCGCATTCGCGATGACAGTCGCAGTGGCGACGGCAGTCGCAGTCACAGCCTCAGCCTCAGCCTGCCTCAGCATCAGCCTGCCTCAGCCTCAGCCTCAGCCTGCCTCAGCCTCAGCCTCAGCCTGCTTCAGCCTCAGCCTCAGTCTGCCTTCAGCCTCGGCCTCAGCCTCAGCCTGCCTCAGCCTCAGCCTGCATCAGCCTCAGCCTCAGCCTCAGCCTGCCTCAGCATCAGCCTGCCTCAGCCTCAGCCTCAGCCTGCCTCAGCCTCAGCCTCAGCCTGCCTCAGCCTCAGCCTCAGTCTGCCTTCAGCCTCGGCCTCAGCCTCAGCCTGCTCAGCCTCAGCCTCCTCAGCCTGCCTCAGCATCAGCCTGCCTCAGCCTCAGCCTCAGCCTGCCTCAGCCTCAGCCTCAGCCTGCTTCAGCCTCAGCCTCAGTCTGCCTTCAGCCTCGGCCTCAGCCTCAGCCTGCCTCAGCCTCAGCCTGCCTCAGCCTCAGCCTCAGCCTGCCTCAGCATTCAAAATGTGGCCCGGGAATGCAGTTTTGGGAACTCGAAGAACACGAAGTGGCCTACAGTTGGCTCCGGGCATTCAAAATCATGCCCAAGAATGGAGTTCTGGGAACTCGAAGACCACGAAGTGGCCTACAGTTGGCTCCGGGCATTCAAAATCATGCCCAGGAATGGAGTTCTGGGAACTCGAAGACCACGAAAAGGCCTACAGTTGGCTCCGGGCATTCAAAATCATGCCCAGGAATGGAGTTCTGGGAATCCGAAGAACACGAAGTGGCCTACAGTTGGCCCCGGGCATTCAGAATGTGTCCCCAGAATGGAGTTCTGGGACCTCGAAGACCACGAAGTGCGTAACTGTTTGCTTAAAACGACTTCCGCGGATTCTCCCCGGATCCTGCCCGGACCCCCCTGGGGAGTCATGACGCTATCTTTTGAGACCATTAGAAAGCTATCTTTCTTCGCTGTCAAGTAAAAAGAAGAAAGTGCGGTTGAGGCCTCAGACTCTACGGCGCTGGCGGCTTTACACTGGTGTCCAGCTGAGGCCCCATAGATGTCACCACGCTCACATCTGATCCATGAGCTGCTGCTTTTTCGCGTCGAACTCTTCCTGAGTAAGCGCACCTGCGTCGAGCAACTGCTTGAGCGACATGATCTTCTGGGCGACGTCTTGAGCCCCAATGACAACGGCGGTCGTTGGGGCCGCCATCATGTGTTGTCCTGGCGCGCCATTGGGCGGCCATGACAGACTTACCGGCAAGGTAAAAATGACGTTGTAGCCCCGAGGTGGCCCCACAGGGAGCTGCATCCGCAGGAGCATCAAAGGCTGCCCTTTCGAATCCACCCAATTCTCCTCGACGCCAAACACCTCCGTCAACTCAATGCGAACCCCAGTCAATCCCAGACTGCCAGGAAGCTCCTTCAGCTTCGCGTTGAACCACTTGATCTTCATTTTCTCATAGCACACAGGACAGGAGAGGATTCCCAGCGTGCAGTAGCAGAGCAGATAGGAGCAGATTTGTAAGTTTACATTCGGGGTGGGTTTGTTTGCAAACTCGGACCGGAGGGCGTCCATGATCTTATTGTAGTCGCCCTCAGACACGTATGCCCCAAGTGCGGGTTCCCACGGCGGGAATAGCTGGTTTCCCTGCGCATTATAACAAATGTTGGCCCAGATCTCCTTGGGGTTCATCGGGTTCTGGTAGATGCCGCCGCCGTACGTCTCATTTGCCATTGCAGCGAAATTGGCAAGGAGGTCCTCAGACTGGCCACGCGGAAACGACTGAAGAAGGCAACTTGGGTCAAAGCCAAGAATGGCTTGAGCCAAAGCCAAGAATGGCTTGAGCCAAAGCCCCTTGTCACATTTCCGCGCGCACATGTTCTCATCATCCTCACAACTGCCATCGTCATAATCATCGACGGCGTCATCATTCCCATCGCCATCATCATCATCATCATCATCATCATCATCATCATCATCATCATCATCGGCTGAATCGCCATCACCATCGGCGTCGTCGACATCGCCCCCACAGTCGTGAAGATCCTAATCGACATGTTCTTCGTCGCAGCCCAGCTGAGGTTTGCAAACAAGTTGCGAGCGATTGGGATGATTGGAAGGGCATCGGAGGTGGTCACGCGCGGATGCGGTCACATTTGAATGCACCTCGTCCGTTGCAGGACATAGCTTGTACCACAGAAAGCGCACGTCGAATATGCAATGCCCTACTGTGTTGAGCCCACGCTGGCTAAAATGATAGTGAAGCCTGGAGACCCAAACAGTTACAAAGTAAATGAAACATAGTGTTTTCGAGTTGTGAATATCGCAATCGCGCCGCGCAAACTCGTCTTACACATCAAACGTGTGAAAGGTGCGACCCAAGAGATCCGTTTGGGACCAGGGCTTTCGCTTGAACCCTCCAGGGCTATAACCGAAAGTGTAAGATTATGAAAAGACGTCGGCTCGTTCATACTAGAAACATCCTCGCGTTGAATACGTCTTGAACGTGTTGCCCAGGTGCGCGACATCGTGGAACAGTTCGGGAGGACTGCGCTCTCCTGAACGGGGCGATCGCTTGACAACCCTTCAGACAATATAAAGCT